AGAGAAAAAGAGGAAGACCCCTAAAGAGATGGATTGGCCAGGTGGCATCATTGATGGACTCAAGTGTGGCAGCGGTAGTGAGGTTGGCCCAGAATTGGACATTGTTTCGTTTTGCTGTGCATGGAGTCACTATGAGTCGGTTCCAACTCGATGGCACCTGACAACAACAACAACACTGAACCTGGGCAAGCCGTGTGACTGCCTTGATAAATACAGAAGTGACAGGTGAGGTTAGAAAAGGCCATGCAACTTTTGTCTGGTTTTCTTGCAAGATTTGCTTTGGGAGCTTTCAGTCACCATGTAAAAAAAAAGTCCACTCCCCTGAGAAAGATACGGGTGCCAGAAGTCTGATCCAGTCTGCAGGAAGACATTCCAGAATACTGCCACCCATCAAATAACCCAAATGAGGATCATCTTTCTAAGCCCAGTCGGCTCCCAATTTTGTGAGCAGAAGAAATCAGTTATTGTTTTAAGTCTCTATTTTGGGGTGATTTTGTTATGTAACAATAGAAAACTACGATATGGCTTTACATAGCTGAGATGCATGTTCCATTTTGATTCTTGATTTTTAAAACTGACATACAAAACATTTGTCATTTCAACATTCTTTACATGTTAAGTGCCACAATTCATGACATTACGTTCATCATGTTCGATACATCACTTTTATCCATTTCTAAAGTTTTCCATCACACTTAGAAGCTCAGTGCCCCTTAAGCAATTTTTCCCTTTCCCCACTCTCCCTTTTGCCCCTGGTAATCACTAATAAACTTCAGTTTCTATACAGTTGCCTATTCTAGCCACTGTTTATAAGTGGGATTATACAGTATTTGTCTTTTTGTTAATGATTTCTTTCACAGCTTAATGTTCTCACAGTTCATCCATGTGGTAGCATGTTTCAGGACTTCATTTATCTTTATAGATAAGTATGTATGTATTTGTTGTTGTTAGGTGCCACTGAGTCAGTACTGACTCATAGTGACCCTATGCACGACAGAATGAAACACTGTCCAGTCCTAGGCCGACATCACAATTGTTGCTATGCTTGAGCACATTGATGCTGCCTCTGTGCCAATCCATCTTGTTGAGGGTCTTACTCTTTTTTTCCAACCCTCCACTTTACCAAACATGATAACCTCTCCAGTGACTGGTCCCTTCTGACAGTATGTCTGAAATATGACAGACATATACTGTCAGTATGTCTGGCCATTCTGGTTTCCAAGGAGCACTCTGACTGTACTTCTTCCAATACATATCTGTGTTGGAAGTATGTATGTATGTATGTATATACATGTATCT